CTTTTCACATCTGTCACATGTGCTCTGGGTGAACCTGCTCTTATCTGTGAAAAGCACAGGGCGCCAGTGGTGGACCTGCCAGTTCTGGTGTTCAATGGCAAATGACAATCCAGCTCTATAGTGCCGGGCAGCGAGTACAGGGACTACTAGAGGACGTCGGGCCCTCAGGCCACCCTCATGTAGTCTGTTTCTGATTGGTCAGAGACATTCACACCAGTGGCCTGCTGGAGGTCATTTTGTAGGGCTCTGGCAGTGGTCATCCTGTTCCTCCTTGCACAAAGGAGCAGATACCAGTCCTGCTGATGGGTTAAGGACCTTCTACGGCCGTGTCCAGCTCTCCTAGAGTAACTGCCTGTCTCTTGGAATCTCCTCCATGCTCTTGAGACTGTGATGGGAGACACAGCAAACCTTCTGGCAATGGCACGTGTTGATGTGCCATCCTGGAGGAGTTGGACTGCCAGTGCAACCTCTGTAGGGTCCTTGTATGGCCTCATGCTACCAGCAGTGACACTGACCCTAGCCAAATGCAAAACTAGTGAGAAAAGATGAGTAGGGAAAAAATGTCAGTGGCCTCCACCTGTACAACCATTCCTGTTTTGGGGGTCATCTCATTGTTGCCCATCTTGTGCACCTGTTGTTAATTTCATTAACACCAAAGCAGCTGAAACTGATTAACAACCCCAAAGAGCAAGGAAAAAGAAAATAGGCTACACACATGAAAGGCTAAACTCAAAACGTATTTATTCATAGAAACCATACAAAGTAAAATTGCATCGGGGACCTGGTGCTCGCTTGGCTCTGAAGAAGTCCCGGAAGTAAGCGGGACAAAACGTGTCAGCGTGGTCACATGCCCCATTCCTCCATTCCCCGCACGCTACCGCCACACTGCATGGTATTTTCACTGGACACCACAGAACTTTACCAGCATGGATATGGCATCTTGTCCATAATGCACGGCCGGCAGCTATTATTGGACTATCCACGGGACACAGCAGATGACATATCACTGGCCCGTTGCTCTGACCAATCATAGCAGATCACATGTCAATTGTATACAATGGATGGCTTCCTGTCATGCCATCCATTGTATACAATTATGTTGTTAGCTGTGACTGGTCAATACAGTCACATGATACAGACAGGGCCAATCACAGCCCATCTGTATCATGTGATCAGCTTTGCCCAATCACAGCTAATCACAACAAAAGACTGAATGAATCAGTTTCATTCAGTAAGAATGATTGCAAATATCAATGAAATACATCGGTATTAGCAATCATAATGTGTTAAAACAAAAAAAAAAATCCTGATCACTTGCCCAGAGTAGTTCATTGTTACTATGGTAACATTGTATTGCTTTGGTCACAGTGCGCTGAAAAATAAAATAAAAAAATGTATTTTTTCTTCCCGACGAAAAGAGCGCCCCCTTGTCCTTTGTGATAACCTCAGGGTGAATAGCTATACACCGAGTTCACTATATGATGGATATCAGCCGCTGGATAATTCCAAAAGCCAGCTGTAATCCGGACAATTATAGACCTCCAAACTTTTACTCCAAAAATTGAACAGAAAAGATGAACCAGCAGAAAAGATTTATCCTCATAGAGGACACACCCATTCAAAAAACAAAACAATCCTCATAGTGTAGTAAATAGAAAAAGATTTATTGCCCCAAAGCGTAATATAAAACGTACATCAAAGTAACTAATAAAACAGCATGTCACCATGAAGATGAATGACAAGTTTCAAACCAATGAGATGGCCGGCACGTTCCGGTACGTGCTGACGTCACGCGCTCTGGCTCCTCCCTACGCGTTTCGTCATCGGTGATGTTGTCAGGGGCACGTGACGTCAGCACGTATCGGAACATAGCGCAGATTTGTTAAGGTATTTTTCGTTTATAATGTGCTGGCAAAGCCAAAAAATGTGGAAAGGAGTGCCAGTGTCCTCACCACATCACCCGCAGACAGGAGAAACACTCGGATTGCGGGCATGGAGAACCTCAGGAGTCTTGTACCACACATATAGAAGATCTAGAGGCAGCCTCCCATTGATCTAAGGGAATATCCTGGTGAAGGATTCGGGGCCACTTTCGCATGTAAGGATGTGTGTCAGCAGAGGTTTTGTTTTTTGGGAGGTTGGAGGGTTGTTTAGGGTGGTTGGGATTTTTGGGAGATTGTCTTGTTTGGGAGGGGGTGAGTTGGGTTTCCATCGGGGAGGTGCGGGTGTGGAGTGCACACAGGGGATACTTTTTGTACGATCGGTGAGTGTCCTTCATGGAAGGTTCCCTCCATGCCGGGGGTGGGGGTCCTTGCGATTGGGAGCGAGCTGTATGGTTTCTATGAATAAATATGTTTTGAGGTTAGCCTTTCAGGTGTGTAGCCTATTTTTTTTTCCTTGGTTTTTGTATTATATGCTTTAGGTAGCATCCTTCCAGATTGTGCTGGAGGCACCTCATCATTTTTTCTTGAATTCTAGTGGACTCCCCGGCTTCCCTACCCCCCCTATTTTCCCCCCTTTTTATAGTGATTTAACAACCCCCTCTGCTACTTACCTGACCAGATCAATCTCCCAGGAGTTTCATTGACTTGATGCTAGACTCTGATCAAAAATTCTTCCTTTCATTTTTTTGAGCAGTCCCACATGAAAGAAAAATATATTTTAAATATATTTTAAAAATATACATTCTAATTATATTCTTCCCAAATATATTGACATATATTTCAAATACTACAATTTTGGCCGTATTCAATATATTTCAAAAATATATTTCAATATATTTGTGAATATATTATTAAAAATATATTAAGAACACATGCTGCAATATATATCAAAGTGTAATTTGGAATGCATTTACAAGTATATTTAATATATTATTCCCAAATATATTGACATATATTTCAAATACTACAATTTTGGCCATATTCAATATATTTCAATATATTTGTGAATATATTATTAAAAATATATTCAGAACACATGCTGTGATATATATCAAAGTGTAATTTGGAATGCATTTACAAATATATTTAAAAATCTATGTTTAAAATGCATTTGTTTAGATATTCAAATATATCTGGAAAATATACTTTGAAAAAATGCCTTTGGAAAATATATTTTAATTTACATTTTTTGAATACAAGTTAAAATATATTTGTGTAGGCCAATATATTGTAAATATATGTTGCATGTATAATTTTTTTTCTAAATATATTGAAAACATTTCTCTTCCATATGGGGTGTATGATGCAGGTCATCTGTGAGTACAATACTTTGTCAGTTAATAATGTTTTATTATTAGGTATATCACAATGCTTGTGCCAAAACATTTTCTAGATTTGGTTCCAGTGGGGAAAGACTATCTCCTCTGTAAGGTTTTTATTGCTGTTTGTGGAGATATAAGCTCATTTGCCCATGGCTCCATTTTTACTGGAAGAAAAAGTTGGGGGGAAAAAAAAAATTTTGGTTGTCACTGGAACAGGAGAAGAATGGACTTCTTCCAGTGGAGACTGTGCTCAGGTAACCCATAAAACGCAAACCTTCCCATATGGAAGAAGAAAAATGTACTTGAAATATATTTTAAAAATATTCTTCCCAAATATATTGACATATATTTGAAATGCTACAATTTTGGCCATATTCTATACACACACACAAATATATATATATATATATATATATATATATATACACACACACATACATACATACATACACACACACACATAAATATATATATACATACACACACACTGTATGTTTAAATGTGTTTTTATTACAAATTATATGAAAAATATTTTTTAAAAATACATTTCAAATATACTGCATGTCTTTAAAAATACAAATCTGCTATTTTGGAATGCGTTTACAAATATATGTAAAAATTTATGCTAAAATGTCTTTTTTATATGTTAAAAAAAATCTGAAAGAATATATTTTAAAAAATATATATTTTTAAATATTTATATTTTTTAAAGTATATTCTTCATATTTTTTTTTAAGATATAAAAAAAGTTATTTTAACCTATATTTGTAAATGCATTCCAAAAATGTAGATTTGTATTTTTAAAGACAAAAGATCTGAAGAATATATTTAAAAAAAAATACATGTTTTAAAAATATGTTTGTTTTAAATATATTCTTCAGATTTTTTTAACGTATAAAAAAGTCATTTTAACATATATTTTGACATAATTTTGTAAATGCATTCCAAAAATGTAGATTTGTATTTTTAAAGACATACAGTATATTTGAAATGTATAGTTAAAAACATTTTTCATAGGTGAGAAGGGAACCTCTCTACCGAGGTTCCGTGCCGACTATGTCATTCCCACTTGGCGGTGGGGTCACTCCGATATTGAGGGAACTTGAGTATAGAGCCAATCACCACACATATAAAAAAAAAAAAAACAAAAACATTTTTCATATTTTTTGCAATAAAAACGCATTTCAACATACAGAATATATACGGTATATATATATATATACACACACACACACATATATATATATATACAAATAAATATTTTTATGTATTTATCTATTGAAGTATATTTTTAAACATAATGCATATGGCCAAATTTGTAGCATTTCAAATATATGTCAATATATTTGGGAAGAATATTTTTAAAATATATTTCAAATATATTTTTCTTCCATGTGGGTTTTTTTGTACATTGTAGAATGTGGACATTATTAGATGTGGGACTTTCCCTCATTTTGGAGAGCTTTCCAGGGTTGTATCTCTGGGCACAGGAAGTGAAGGGAAATCACCTCGATGGTGGACACAGACAGAAATACAGATTATAACCCTCCCCACTCCACCCAAAACTTAAAAAACAACCCCTCTGGTTGGAGATCTTTCATACAGACGAACTAAAACATCTGCGTCAAAAAAGTTTTCTTTAAGTTTTTAATACTTTAGTATTTGTAAAGGAACAAAAGAGTCAACACACATGTCCAGCCAATCAGCTGCCCCGTCCTGACACAGGTATCCCATGTCACCTATGGGAAACCAGGTGTGAGATGAGGTAGTCTCTCCTCGGAAACCTTTTCCCGCACTCAGAGCAGGAATAGGGCCGTTCCCCAGTGTGAGTCCGCTGATGCAATATTAAGGTTCCTCTCTGGGTGAAACACTTCCCGCACTCTTCGCAGGAAAACGGCTTCTCTCCCGTGTGAACGATCTCATGTGTGATAAGGGAAGACTTCCGCGAGAAGCTCTCTCCACATTCAGAGCACGAATATGGCTTTACCCCCAAGTGAGTCCTCTGGTGGGCAAAGAGATTTCCAGTCTGGGCAAAACATTTTCCGCACTCGGAACAGGAAAACGGTTTCTCGGATGTGTGGGTCCGCTCATGGATAGCAAGGTACGACCTTTCAGTGAAACACTTCCCGCACCTCGAGCACGGGTATGGCTTCTCTCCCGTGTGAACTTTTTTATGCCGGTTAAGAGCTGAAATTCGGGGAAAAGACTTCCCACATTCAGAACATGCATGCGGCTTCTCTCCTGTGTGACTTCTCAGGTGTCTGATCAGTTGGGCTTTCCAGGCAAAACTTTTATCGCAGCAGTCAGGACACGAGTACGGCTTCTCCACCGTATGAGTCTTCTGGTGCGAGATAAGGGTTCCCCGTTCGGTAAAGCATTCGCCGCAGTCTGAGCAGGAAAATGGATTCTCAGTCGGGTGGGTCGTCGTCTGGTGCCTGATCAGCTGAATCTTCCAAGAAAAGCATTCGCTACATTCGGAACATGAGTAAGGCTTCTCCCCTGAGTGGGTCCGCTGGTGAGCCATGAGATTTCCTTTCTTGTTGAAAGATTTGCCGCAGTCTGAACACGAATAGGTCCTAGCTTCTGCGTGAGACTTTTTGTGTGCGGTAAGTTCTGCTCTCTCGGAAAAAGACTCACCACATTCAGAACACGGGAACATTCTGCCCCCTCTACGAGCTGTAGGGTGGGTGACTGGGCATGACGGAGCAGGAGGAGACCCTCCATGTTTAGAGGGTAGATGTGCATTATTTTGTGCTGGATGGACATCTGGGATGATGGAGTTTTCCTCTGAAGAATCCGAGGTGATGTCCTCATCTTCAATTTCATCATCTGGAGAGAAAGATGGAGGTTCCTCCATGTCGTACCTTCTGTATTGTCCATCTACAGAAAATAATGTATGAATGGGAATAAGATTTCAGGCCTTATAAAATGACAGAATATTGCTAAACAGAATGCATAGTCCCACATGGAAGAAAAATATATCTGAAATATATTTTAAAAATATTCTTTCCAAATATATTGACACACATTTGAAATACTACAATTTTGGCCATATTCAATATATTAAAATAAAAAAAATTATATATATATATATATATATATATATATATATATATAAAAATATACACATACATATGTTATATATATACACACACATTCAGTCATATCCAACCCATGGCCAGGGATGAAACTAGGTCAATTTAGACAGGAGCCAATTAACTGACCAGCATGTCTTTGGAGTGTGGGGGAGGAAACCGGAGCACCCGGAGGAAACCCACGCGAACACAGGGAGAACATGCAAACTCCATGCAGGAGGCGCCATGGCTGGGAATAGAACCCATGACCCAATTACTGCAAGGCAGAAGTGCTAACTACTAAGCCACCCTCCTCTCTCTCTATATATATATATATATATATATATATATATATATATATATATATATATATACACTGTATGTGTTTTGTTATATATATTCAATATATATATATATGTAAGCTCCAAGGAGCAGGGCCCTCCTAACCCTCTTGTATTGAACTGTATTGTCTCCCGTTTATATTGTAAAGCGCTTAGCAAACTGTTGGCGCTATATAAATCCTGTATATTAATAATATACAGTATATATACAGTTGCAAAAAAAAGTATGTGAACCCCTTGGGATTACGTGGAGTTTTGCATGAATTGGGCATAAAATGTGCTCTGAACATCATCTAAGTCACAACAATAGAAGAACACAGTCTGCTGAACATAATACTACACAAACATTAGATGTTGCCATGGTTTAATTGCACATAACATGTAAACATTCACAGTGCAGGGAGGAAAAAGTATGTGAGGCCCTAGCTTAATGACTTCTCCCAGAGCTAATTGGAGCCAGGAGTGAGCCAACCTTGACTCCAATCAGTGTGATGATATTGGATGTGTTGCTGACAGCTGTCCTGCCCTTAAAAAAAACACACACCTGTTTTGGGTTTACTGGTTTCAAGAAGCACTGTCTGATGTGAACCATGCCTCGCAGAAAAGAGCTCTCAGAAGACCTGCGATCAAGAATTGTTGACTTTCTTTCACCAATGTTTGTAGAAGCAGTCTGCATGCCTAGGGGCTTGATTGTGTACACCTGTGTCCATGGAGGGGATTGGAACACCTGAATCCAATGAGCAGGAGGGCGGGCCCAATACTTTTGGCAATATAGTGTGTGTATATATATGTGTGTGAATGTGTGTATACAGTGAGGAACAGAAGTATTTGAACACCCTGCGATTTTGCAAGTTCTCCCACTTAGAAATCACGGAGGGGTCTGAAATTCACATTGTAGGTGCATTCCCACTCTGAGAGACAGAATTTAAAAAAAAAAAAAAAAACACCATCCCTACTGTGAAACATGGGGGTGGTAACATCATGCTTTGGGGGTGCTTTTCTGTGAAGGGAACAGGACGACTGCACTGTATTAAGGAGAGGATGAATGGGGCCATTTATTGTGAGATTTTGAGCAACAACCTCCTTCCCTCAGTCAGAGCATTGAAGATGGGTCGTGGCTGGGTCTTCCAACATGACAACGACCCGAAGCACACAGCCAGGATAACCAAGGAGTGGCTCCGTAAGAAGCATATCAAGGTTCTGGAGTGGCCTAGCCAGTCTCCAGACCTAAATCCAATAGAACATCTTTGGAGGGAGCTGAAACTCTGTGTTGCTCAGCGACAGCCCCAAAACCTGACAGATCTAGAGGAGATCTGTGTGGAGGAGTGGGCCAAAATCCCTGTTGCAGTGTGTGCAAACCTGGTCAAGAACTACAGGAAACGTTTGACCTCTGCAATTGTAAACAAAGGCTTCTGTACCAAATATTAACACTGATTTTCTCAGGTGTTCAAATACTTATGTTCAGCAGTGCAAGACAAATAAATTCTTTAAAAATCATACAATGTGATTTCCTGAATTTTATTTTTTAAAGTCTGTCTCTCAGAGTGGGAATGCACCTACAATGTGAATTTCAGACCCCTCCATGATTTCTAAGTGGGAGAACTTGCAAAATCGCACAGTGTTCAAATACTTCTGTTCCTCACTGTATACACACACACTATATATATATATATATATATATATATATATATATATATATACACACACTATATTGCCAAAAGTATTGGGCCTGCCCATTGGATTCAGGTATTCCAATCCCCTCCATGGACACAGGTGTATACAATCAAGCCCCTAGGCATGCAGACTGTTTCTACAAACATTGGTGAAAGAATGGGTCGCTCTCAGGAGCTCAGTGACTCCAAGCGTGGTCCCGTGATAGGTTGTCACCTGTGCAATAAGTCCATTTGTGACATATCCTGGCTACTAAATATTCCACGCTCAATTGTTAGTGGGATTATAACAAAGTGAAAGCAACTGGGAACAACAGCAACTCAGCCACCAAGTGGTAGGCCACGTCACATGACAGGGCGGGGTCAGCGCATGCTGAAGCACACAGTGTGCAGAAGTCACCAACTGTCTGCAGAGTCAATAGCTAAAGACCTCCAAACTTGGTGTGGCCTTTAGATGAGCACAACAACAGTGCGTAGAGAGCTTCATGGAATGGGTTTCCATGGCCGAGCAGCTGCATCCAATCTTGCATCACCAAGTGCAATGCAAAGCGGCGGATGCCGTGGTGTAAAGCACGCCGCCACTGGACTCTAGAGCAGTGGCGACGTGTTCTCTGGAGTGACCAATCACGCTTATCTGTCTGGCAAGCCGATGGACGTATTTGGGTTTGGCAGTTTCCAGGAGAATGGTACTTGCCTGACTGCATTGTACCAAGTGTAAAGTTTTGGTGGAGGGGGGATTATAGTGTGGGGTTATTTTTCAGGGGTTGGACTTGGCCCCCTAGTTCTAGTGATGGGAACACTTAAGGCATTAGTTTGGGGTGGAGGAACTTGACTGGCCTGCACAGAGTCCTGACCTCAACCCCATAGAACACCTTTGGGATGAATTAGAGTGGAGACTACGAGCCAGGCCTCCTCCCCGGACATCAGTGCCTGACCTCTGGAAGAATGGTCAAACCTTCCCAAAGACACCCTCCTAACCCTTGTGGACGGCCTTCCCAGAAGAGTTGAAGCTGTTATAGCTGCAAAGGGTGGAGCCAACTCAATATTGAACCCTACAGACTAAAACGGGGATGCCATTAAAGTTCATGTGTATGGAAAGGCCAGCGGGCCAATACTTTTGCAATATAGTATATATATACAGACAGGTCCATAAATATTGGGACATCGACATAATTCTAACATTTTTAGCTCTATACACCACCACAATGGATTTGAAATGAAACGAACAAGATGTGCTTTAACTGCAGACTGTCAGCTTTAATTTGAGGGTGTTTACATCCAAATCAGGTGAACAGTGTAGGAATTACAACAGTTTGCATATGTGCCTCCCACTTGTTAAGGGACCAAAAGTAATGGGACAGAATAATAATCATAAATCAAACTTTCACTTTTTAATACTTGGTTGCAAATCTTTGCAGTCAATTACAGCCTGAAGTCTGGAACGCATAGACATCACCAGACGCTGGGTTTCATCCCTGGTGATGCTCTGCCAGGCCTCTACTGCAACTGTCTTCAGTTCCTGCTTGTTCTTGGGGCATTTTCCCTTCAGTTTTGTCTTCAGCAAGTGAAATGCATGCTCAATCGGATTCAGGTCAGGTGATTGACTTGGCCATTGCATAACATTCCACTTCTTTCCCTTAAAAAACTCTTTGGTTGCTTTTGCAGTATGCTTTGGGTCATTGTCCATCTGCACTGTGAAGCGGAGTCCAATGAGTTCTGAAGCATTTGGCTGAATATGAGCAGATAATATTCCCGAAACACTTCAGAATTCATCCTGCTGCTTTTGTCAGCAATCACATCATCAATAAATACAAGAGAACCAGTTCCATTGGCAGCCATACATGCCCACGCCATGACACTACCACCACCATGCTTCACTGATGAGGTGGTATGCTTAGGATCATGAGCAGTTCCTTTCCTTCTCCATACTCTTCTCTTCCCATCACTCTGGTACAAGTTGATCTTGGTCTCATCTGTCCATAGGATGTTGTTCCAGAACTGTGAAGGCTTTTTTACATGTCGTTTGGCAAACTCTAATCTGGCCTTCCTGTTTTTGAGGCTCACCAATGGTTTACATCTTGTGGTGAACCCTCTGTATTCACTCTGGTGAAGTCTTCTCTTGATTGTTGACTTTGACACACATACACCTACCTCCTGGAGAGTGTTCTTGATCTGGCCAACTGTTGTGAAGGGTGTTTTCTTCTCCAGGGAAAGAATTCTTCGGTCATCCACCACAGTTGTTTTCTGTGGTCTTCCGGGTCTTTTGGTGTTGCTGAGCTCACCGGTGCGTTCCTTCTTTTTAAGAATGTTCCAAACAGTTGTTTTGGCCACTCCTAATGTTTTTGCTATCTCTCTGATGGGTTTGTTTTGTTTTTTCAGCCTAATGATGGCTTGCTTCACTGATAGTGACAGCTCTTTGGATCTCATCTTGAGAGTTGACAGCAACAGATTCCAACTGCAAATAGCACGCTTGAAATGAACTCTGGACCTTTTATCTGCTCATTGTAATTGGGATAATGAGGGAATAACACACACTTGGTCATGGAACAGCTGAGAAGCCAATTGTCCCATTAC